CATGAGAAAAATATAAGAGATTATTGACATTCCTTGAAAACGTCTTACCAATACTTATAACATAGGATATAAATTTATTACATACAAAGCAAACACACATATTATAAACATATATGTATTAAAACAATTTAAACATACACGTAAGTACTTCTTAAATGAGTCAAATAGTTAAAAATGCGAAAAATTTTCCTAAAATATCACTGTATGTATTAGAAGTATGTACATCGACAATTCGATCGCAAAATAAATCGAACATTCCGATAAATTGATCAAAGGTATCTACCGACATTAAACATGTATTCTGCCGAAAAGAAAATCAATTAATATTTTGTCAACTAATCTAACATGTTTACATTAAAAGAAACGGGTTTGTATTTACTATATAATTCGTTATCGATGATACTAATCTGTTAGAACTTCTCGGGAGAATAAGATCGCAGTAATCTGAAACATTCTATTACAATTTATAGATTCGTTACATTTATTTTGAATGTCAATTAGAATTACGTGCTTACGAAAGGAAAGAAGTTAGAAGAAAAAGCACTAAAAAAATACGTTGAAGCCCTCGAAACTGTGGCCTTTGTATTTTAATGAGTTTTATATAAAAATAAAATTGTTGCCCTTTCTTAACTGAAACACTATGCTAATGCTAGTAACAATAACTAAAAATTATAGTTTCTAACAAATAAGTATTAAATTATTATTAAAACTGCATACATATTAAATTATTAATATGTATCATTTTAGTAATATACATTGTTTATACAATAGATAAGTATATTATCTGTCAATAAGGTAGGCGAGAAATAGTTTTCGCGCTGAGAGGAAATCTCTTTTATCGACTATTGGCAAATTCATCGTTTACAGAACACATATTCGATGTAGTCTTTGCAGATCAGTCGCAAGGGGGCGCTGCGCCTCGCGCGCTATCTGGCGTGTCCATTCGAATATTCGCCGGGCAGATTAGTCGAACAAGGCGCTTTAGTCGCATCGAGTCGCTCGTAGGAGGTGCTTCGATGCCTGTTCGGCTCGCTTCCATCTCGCGGTTCGCGTTCACGGTATAGCCGTATATGTAAGATACGGTGCGTGTATACGTCGCACGTGTACACATATACACACACCCATATAACATACGTAACACTCACGCGCACACGGACACGTAAAAATACATATGTGCGTTTCGTATTGTGATACGAGTCGAGTGGCCGAGCGTGCATGTGCCGGGAGCACTGCTGGATGTACGTGATCGGCTGGACGCGTCGCTGATCGCCGTTTCTGACCTCTCTCTTTCTCTGTTTCTCTTTCTCTTTTTCTCCTCTCTCTTTCTTTTCCTTTTATTCTTCTCTCCTCTCCTCGCGTATCTCCTTTTTCCTTCTTCTCTCCCCCGTCTTCCTCGTCCTCCATCTCCTTCTCACGAACGCACCAAATGTTCGCGCCGCATGCACCGAGTGCCCGCAGCACCGCCGCCGCTCGCTTTCGTCGCCGTCGTCGTGCCGTCTGACGGCGCGTCCGCCGTTCGGCAAACGATCACCGCGTTCCGATACGGTGGATGACTCCACCAGGAACGAATTAGTAAAAGAAGACGACGAATAAGAAGAAGGGAAGAGGTATAAGGACACAGGAGGTACAGAGTGAAAGAGAGAGGGGACGATTTTCACGAACACGCTCGCGAAACATCCTTTTGTCGCGCGCGCGGATTTCCCTTGCGGATTTTTCCTTCAGGTTTTCATCTCTCTTTCTCTCTCTCTCTCTCTCGCTCTCGCTCTCTCCATCGCGTCCGGGGCCATTTTGCCAAAATGAAAATAACACCGCGAGCCACTTTTCGCGGATACCCCGCGTCCGCGGTTCTGCTCGCTATCCTCGTCTGGTGCCACTGCGTGTGCTCGATCGCACACGCAAGATCGCACCGCTTAAAGACGACGTCCAACGGCACCGAACTCGTCGTCGACTGCGAGCTGGTCAGGCCGTTCTTCAGCACCAAGAACTTCACGCTCGAGCCGGCCGCCGCGGACTCTCTGAGGAGTAAGTGGATCTTTCGTATGATTTAAGCCTGAGACACAATTGAAAAGCACAGGCAACGGAAAATAACAGATTTCAACCTAACAGAAACTGTAAGTATATCAGAATACACAGATGGGTTGAAAGCTGTTATTTCCTGTTCTTATTGCCTGTGCTTTTCATTCTGTTCAAGGCTTTAAGCATGAGACAAATGAAAAGCACAGGCAACAAGGAATAACAGATTTCAGGCTTTTATCTGCTGTCGTCCGACTGACGAAAGAAAAAAAAAGGCAAAACAAAGTTAAAGGGCTGTGAGTCAAGCTGGATTTTAATACTAGTTAAGTAATATTAAATTACAAAGCACGTGATGGAAATGTTACAATATAAAATATAAACGATAATAAGTTAGAAGCAAGAGAGAGAATAAATTAGAAAATCTGACAAACGTTTAATTATATATAATACTTTGTTTTTAACAATAATTTTTTAGATTCAGTTATTCAGGTCTAAAAAATTATTATTAAGAAAATTATTATGGAAATTGGTTCATTCTCGGTGTTGTATGAGATAAAGATAAAAAATGCAGTATATTATAATTAAAAAAAAAACTCCATCATACATTAATTCTTTGTGTTAAACCGTCGGAGGAATTTTCACGAGACACGCGCATCGAAGAGCTGCTGTCGGATAGTAACGTCAAAATCAGGTGATTCTGACATTTCTGTCAGATGGACATGCCGAGCATTGTGCTCAGAAAAAAAAAACAGAAGAAAAGAAATAGGTAGATGTCTCGAGAGAGGGAGACAAGTTGAGTTAAATTTAAAGCGAGATTTAGAGCAAATTGATTAAATAACGTCCATTTTTATCAATGCGATTTCGATTTACTTTACTTTTTAGCTTTTTCTGATTCTTAGAACCAGAAATAGATAGAAAGTAAATTATTAAATGTGGGGATTAAAGTTGACCTACATTAGTAGAAATGAATATAAGAGCGAGAATATTCTAATTAGAATAATTTATATATACGATAATTTTATATAAACGTATGTATAATTTAATCAATTGTAATATATTGTGTATCTACATTTAGACCGTAAGTTTGGAAACACTTTTTGAAAATTGACATTTCTGTAATTATTTAGTTAAATATTTATAACAATGTATTTTTCAAACAATAATTCTTTAGGTTCAAAGGATCTAATGAATTATTAAAAACACATCATGTTGTGAATTTCTGAATAATCAATTTCAGAAATGTAAATTTTTTAAAAGTATTTTAACTTAAAAGGTATATACGAGTATATATTTATATATAATGTAATGTAATATTATATAAATATATGATAATATTAATTGAGACCATCGACGTTCAGCTGAATTTAATGTAATTTAATTAATTGATATTTGCCGGAGCGAAAGCGGTCGCGAGTTTCGCAAAGTACATTTCTTTCTAGTGTTGGAGTTTGACGTTAAATTTAGGTATCACAAAAACGTCGTGTTTACTTCAAGTTGGGTGACGTCTCGCAGTCAATAACTCGTGACTGCTGCGAGTATTAGCGTAATAATTTCTACTAATTGGACAGTAATTACACTAATAGTGTCATTGGCATTGTTAGTTACCAACATTATAACTATTATATTCGATACTAACAATATCCATATTTTAAAGGATTATCAAAATTGTTGATGTTACACGTAATTAATATTCGATATTTGATATCATTAATATTAATATTGTTATCACATTCAATATGCAGTCATAATATGCCGCCATCGATATTTCACGTCGAAAGGTATGATTTCTGCGTGCATAAATTTGCACGCGTTTTACATGCTAATTAATTCCATTCTCATCTTAGATGTGCAAGTTGCAGATTTTCTCGAAAGATCGACAAGTGCTGCTCAAATTAATGAGTATTGCATCTCTAATTATGTGAGATTAATCAAGAAAATTATCACAATTATTTATCTAAAAAGCAGCATAGTTAAATATTTTGAAAAAAATCATAGTTTTGCATTAAAAAATTCTGCTTTATATATCTCGGAATTTAATCAACGAGCTGGATACTCGTCTAGATATCGCGACACACGTTTCGTTTGTCGATCTGATTTTTCTTCAGAAACCACCTCAAGGTGTGAGATTCGATACAGAATTTATTATAAAAGCCTCGCGGAATTGAATATCGCAAATATTTGCGTAATTGAATTTGGATACTCCTCGAATAAATTTGAATACGAAGACTTTCCGAAGATCGCTGTCATATCGATTTAAATCCTGCATGACTGGTTCCGTAGAGAAGGAAGATTTGGTAAAAGATAAGTTTGACGCGCACAACGATTTTCCACTGCGAAAAAAATCAATCCGTAAAGTCATTTGCATCGACATATCGCTCGTATCGCAACGCATCCATTTTTTTTCCTCACCGATTTTTCATCGTTTCCTATCTACTTCCTTATTGATCTCGTAAATTATGATGTTTCTCAGAACTTTGGAATTAGTCCTATTGGCTAACGCGAATCCGACGCAGCTCGTAGGTATTGCATAACACGCTTCTTTTTCCATCAATCTCGCGAGTTATTCGTTTACGAAACGTAGTGACTTATTTTTAACAGCCTAAAAATAAGAGAAATGTTATAAATCTCGATAAGTGACAGTAACATTCTATTTCTCAGAGGGAAAATTAACGTTCTCCATAAGTAATTATATATGTACATATCCAATTACACGTAAATTAATGTCACATAAGTGTTATACACTTTTCTTTATCTTGTCTTTATACTTTCATTTGTGGATTGAGTCGTGTCAACCTGTTTCTTGATTAAACTATTTATTCTTTTCATTTTTTTTATTTCTACGGGATACATTCTAAATATTCCTTTATTTTAACATATTTGATATCAGTAATCAGTCAATCCGATCACTACTAATTTTTACATTTAATTATATTCTAACTAAATAAATAAAAATACACACACACACACATATATATATATATCTTATAATTTTAGATTAATAAGGTAACGTGAAATTTTACACGTATCTCTTATAATATATCTCCCTTTTTCTTGTCTTTATATAATCCATTGTGAATTTTGACTCATAATTAGCTTCGTAATTATTCTTCCAACTAAACCATTAGCTCTCTCCATCAAATTTATATATTTTTTAAATATATCAAATTTATTTTAACACTCGACACCATTAATCAGTTAATTCACGCTCATTACAATTTTTATATTTATTTCTATATATTCCATATTTATTTACAATTACACTGAAAAAAATTTCTGATAGAAAATGGACGAATCTAATTAAATTTATTAGAATTTTATAATAGTAATAACCGAAATTGTGGTTCATATAATATTTTTGATAAAATCTATTAGAATTCTTATTTTTACCAGAATAATTGATTATCAATCAGAATTCTAGTAGATTTAACCAGAAAATTTTGATTCATTCATTTTCCACCAAAGTACTGTTATATTTAATCCAACCAGATCATTTTTCTCAGCGCCGCAGCTACTCTTTTTTTATTTATTTTTTTATTTTTTACTTTTTACATACGCCTTCGCGTTTAATTGCCGATTTCTGTATTCATCCGTACTTTTATTTCGCGCTGTACCCGTATATTTTTAAATTCGATGCAGCGTTCGGTCGTGAAACCGGTTCGCTCGCAGGCAAAGAGGAATGCACGTCACCGAGGGATTTCGATCGTTCGCGACGCCGCGGCCGCGTATTTTCTGATCTCGGTCGAAATTATCGCGCGGAAGCGTTATTATTGCCGTACGCGAATATTAATGTAACGCACTGTATGCATTGGCCCGTATTTAATATGCAAATGTAGCGAGCGCGTTGAATTGAAATAGCTATTTGAATTTTTTGTGAATTTTATTTCCTAAGTTCTCACATGGCGAGGAGTTAAAAAATCCATTCAGTAAAGTAAGAGTACAACTTTTTTTCATGACCGTACGTTTTATTTCTACATTTTTAAATGTATTTTTCTTAAAAGTTAAAATTATCATAATAATGTTGCTATACTCTAGGAAAAATTCGCACATTGTGTATGAAATAATAAAGCTAATAAAATCCTTTCCAACATTGTTACGAAATCGCTGTCAGTTCTGCTTCAATCATTTAAAAACTAATTCAGACTATTTAGAGTTGTTGATTCAACTCTAATCCAACTTTGGATTAGTCACAACTCTGAATTAGTTTTTAAATGATTGAAATAGAACTGACAGCGAGTTCGTAACGATGTGAATAAGGAGTTTATTAACTTTGTTTTAACGTATTGTGTTTTCTTGACTGTAGTTATTATTGATAATTTTTGATTTCTATGAAGAAAAATATATAAGAAAATTTAGAAACAAAAACGATCCCTAAACGGTCGTGAAAAAATGAAAATTGTATCCTCCTTTCTAGTGTATTTTCACGAAGATTAGGAATAATCTCGAGAATTGTGGCTCAGATTAAGCATGAAAATGGAAGAATCATTGATAATTTCCATATAAGAGAGTTGTCCTTTCTTTTTGGAATTTTATTTATTATATTTTTCGTTTTTAATATTAGTTTTTAATATATTTTTGAATATTTTCTGTAATTGTTGGAGTTATTTTTTAAATGCGTGCGAGAAATCGTACGCTACTTCGTAGTTCATTATTTCATTAATTAAATGGAATTCTGAAAATAAAGTGTCGAAAGCTGTCATTTGAGTATCAATGTTCTTTTTCGGGGGGGGGGGGGG